TTGTCTTGACAGATGAAACAAACCTTGAATGTTGTTTTACAATTTTGATTTTCTGCTATAATAATTATAATTTTCCACTACCAGTATAACTCAGAGCATCAGAATGTTATTTATGCTAGCAAATTAATGCTTATTTATGAAGTGATCACTAGACGTTAGTGACGGAAGAAAATGCTAATATATCGTTAACCAGCAAAAGCATTTGCTACAATTTCCAATGTCTAATGACACTGAGATATTTTTTATTTACTTTATCCTCTAACGAATAAAGCATACATCTAACTTCAGTCATTTTTGAGGCTAAAGGTTAAAGCATCTAGAAATGTGCATAAATAAACGGAATACGAAATATAAAAACATAAAAAATTATTAAAAAAAAAAACATAAATTCTATAGTTCTTTTGCATCTATTGGAAAATTTACGAGTACAAAAAAAATATTGTCAAAGCACTCAAATGGTTGAGATTTAGCATTTATCACCATCAAAATTGTTTTTGCTAGACTATTTTACTTTTTAGTTTAGTTTTTGTTCTTACACAATATGATTAAAAGAACGATAAGAAAATAAGGCCCTGACTTTAAAACGCTGCGACACACGTCTTTAACAATTTGTTAATTCATGACCGCCCTTTATCGATTTTTTTTAATAATATTGTATTATTTTCGTTTAAGAAATAAAAAAAAATTGTTTGGATGAGGGATCGTGCCACAAATTTTCAAGTTGATGTTGAATTAAGTCGAGTAGTCACTTGTCGTAAGTTGTTGAATGGATTATCAGATTTTTATTTAGTCCAAAAATCTTTGATAATTTTCAAAATTTAATTTTTGGATAAGAATCATTTCCTATGAGTCTTTATTAATTTGCATTATATTGAAATTTGCGGTTGGAAATCCTTCAAACGATGAGCAATTAGTGTGTTTGTATGTTCGTGTTTGTTTAATACGCATTGAAAATGCTGTGCAATCAATATTTCACAAAACGGATTAATTTTCAAAAGAAAAAATATTCATTGTTTTTAAATTACCTATTATCCTCTTAGTTTAGCACAACACAAATTATTTTTTTCATTACTTTTGGACTACTTTTTCTACCACACAATCACCAGTTTTATGAAAGTAAGTTATTCCTCGAAATTTATTTACTGTTTATTGCTTTTGTTCGTTTCCCTTTGTAACAAAATATCGATAATTCGTAGCTTTCGCCACAAGGTTTTTGCCTGTATTTTTTTCCGATCCATTGTTTGCTTTATTCATCTTGTGCTGAGTTCGTCGAAAATCTGCAATTTCTCTAATTGTTACAATTGTTTACAATTTTAATTGGCCGTGGTTTTGGAACAATAAAATTCCGTTCGAATAAAATTTCATCGCATCTGCAGTACATTTAGTCCAAATTATCCTGATTTATATTTTTGCGTTCGTAAAACTCGCATTTTACGACTTTGTTGGTGGAGTATATTAAATGCACTCTTATCTCCCGCCACCAAAATTTATACTGAAATAGTTTCATCGAGTAATAATTTAGTTTCGGCTGCAACGCGAGTGTTGTACATGTTAATAATTTCAAAATCTGGAAAAGACTCGCGACGTGAGAGTTAAAACAGATTATTCGCAAAGTACTCTAATATAAATTAATTACAACATGATAAACTGGCTTAAAAACTTGTTTTTCAACTCGGAGTCATTACAATTCCGGAGCTAAATCGAAAAATAATGACCCCGATTGGGTAATTGGGACAATTTATTTCGACACCATTTTTATTATTTACTATACTTCATTAAAAACTGAACGATTTTTTGCCACTATATTGACTGTCAAAGCCGTTAATCAAGTCTCAACTTCAGTTTTTGGTTCGAAACGAAAATTTATTTGATATTTGGCGACGTTTTTAGTGAACTAAATTAACACTAATTAAAACAATTTCTGCGCCAGTCCCTTCAAGTATTTAATGCATTGATAATGGCCATTATAAAAGCGACAAAATTTCCGGAAGTGAAATATTTTTCTGACAAGTAAACAATAAAACGAATTAAGGACATTATTTTAAAAGTGTGTCCTGCAGCAATCTAATTAAATGTAGCGTTAAAGTCACTCGCAGATGTCTTCTATAAAAACAAATTAAAACAAAAGAAAAGTCGTTAGCCTAATCCACAACAATATTAAATTATTGAGTCAAATTACGCGCCATTAAAAATACTTTCAATTTATTGCGTCAATATAACGACTGTCATCACTGCCTGAAATCAAATTGGAAAAATTCGTCAATCATTAGTGAGCGGGAAAAATCGTATTTTGGGAATTACAATTTTACATTTTCTATTTTGGGACAAACGCATTTAATAATTCGATTTTTCATCGATTTTTTTCTGGCAGATAGAAAGAAAAAAAATTGAAAACTGTTTAACAAAACTCTGATTAATGTTATTTGTGGCTTTTATTGGCAAAATGTTTATACCTTTGCTAAATAATTATATAAAAAAACATAAACAAGATCATTAGTGTCATTATATAGACATAAAAAATGTCAAATGTCAAAAAATAAATGACAAATTTTTTTGACAGATAGATTTTATGAAACTTTTTTTCATTGGTATCTTATCTTACTTGAAATTTTTCTCTAGAGCGCGAGTTGTGACAGACCCTGTATTTAAATAAAATGTAAATAAAATGAAAAATTGTTTTAATATTTTACTTAAATTTGAAATTAAAAATAAGTTCTAGTTTTTCCGCTTTCCGATTTCAAATTCGCTGTTATTTTGCTATAAACGTATGATTTCGCAGTTATTTAGATCTCTGACGCAATTGCAAATTTTCGATTCTTCTTTAATCAGCATTAATAATATGTACAACGTTTTTTTACAACAATTCAGCGTTTACTAGTAAATCACGAGTGGTATATCAAATTTACATTTTTTTTATAAAATTTATTAAATTTATTAAATGACTAAAACACTTAAGTAAACAATCAAAATATTTTTAATTTTGGGTAAAATTTCTAGTTTACTGAGGGATTTTTGATTTAGTTTAGCCACTATGGTAAATACAGGGTGTGTCAGAACTCGCGCCCTAGAAAAAATTTAACATAGAAAAAATGTTTAAAAAATTCTGTCAAAAAATTTTGACATTTATTTTTTGACATTTGACATTTATTTATGTGTATTTAATGATACTGATGATCTTGTACATGTTGTTTTGAAATTATTTAGTAAAGGTACAAAAATTTTGCCAAAAAAAGCCACAAATAAAATTAAACAGAATTACAATTTAGAATACAGCTTCCTTGTTTCCACTTCTAATACCATGTAGTGCAAAATTTAAACTGTCATAACTTCGAAATTTTTATAGATAGAATTTTTTTAACATTTTTTCCATGTTCCTGGTATCATACTTTACATGGCATTTTTCTCTGGGGCGCGAGTTCTGGCGCACTCTGTGTAATAAAACCTAACCTTATTTATTCTTGAGTTTAAAGGTTAAATTGTTATTTTAGGTACTACATGCTTTGATAACATTTAAAAAAAATAATAAAACAAACACAGCAAATAGAAATACATGGTTTACTTAATTAAGAATATATCGGAATAAATCCGAGTTCCGTCCTGTACTAATTATGACATATTAAAAAATATATTTTAAAATTTTATTTTGAAGATTTTTTATATGATTTTTTTAAGAGGATCAAAAAATGGGTAAATTAAATTTTTATTTAAATGAGTATTTGTAATATAAAACCAAATAAGGTTGATTTAATTCAATTAAAAAAAAATTAATCGTTTTTCAACAACAAAAAATGGGTTTCTTTTTTGCTATAATTTTAACAGTTTATTAGTTATGCGTTGTTTTTTACCTTTGTAGGAACTTCAGTTTCAAGGGGTTTAACAACGACAAAATTTTGGATTTGTCAAAGGATCTTAGTTTTTAACGACCGCAACTGTTCTATCCAATAATAAGTATATTATAATTAAATAATTAGTATATAATTATTTAATAATAATTAAATAATAAGTATATAATAATTTCACCAATTATCAAACTAACAAATAATTTTCACGACTAGTGATTTATTTACTCACTAACCAATGAAGTAAAAACTAACTTTACCTAATTTAATGCGAGAGTGTTGCTTTGGCAACGAGAATGTGGATATGAACAAACAAATATTCTAATTTTAATGAATTATTAGAAAAAGTTGTCTCGTCTGTAGAATTCTGATATTTATTGCAATTTTAGTCCTTGACGGAGACCGCATAGTTGCAAAATAAAGCAAAAGTTTAAATCCGAGTTGTTCAATGTAAAAAAGAAAAAGCTCGTAATTGTGCAAGTTCTTAAAGTTTTCGAATTAAATACGTATCTGAAAATCTCTCGCTTTGGATCAGTTTCAAATAAACAATGGCGAATATCTTTGATCAGAAAACAAATTATGTAAGACTGTTAACCCATTAAGTCGGATTAGTGTAATGACGCAATATCGATTTAGAAGAGTATAAGTCCTGTATTACTATCGGAACGGAATTTGTGTCCAATATCACACGAAAAGCTCTTTGGTGACAGTGAGGTTTCCGGTTACCTAAGAAAATTCAATTCAATACGAAATATGTGATTGCTATTGATCCTCCAATGACAAGTCAACGTTTTGCTAGTTGGACTAAATGCCTGTTTTGAGAAAATGGAATAAATTGCGGCTGAAAGAAATAGCCGGTTGGACGTAAAAGGTGCACGTCTGTTGAAAATTTTATGAGGGACGCTTTCATTACATTTAATAAAATGATAATTTGGCCCAAATTTGAAAAATTACTGCGAGTTGGGCACAGATGAGTTTCAAGAAAGAAATGTAAAAAAAGAATTCGCCCGGCGCATCCACCAATTTGCAAAATTGCAATTTCCAAGCCTGGAAAGTGTGTGTCAACATTAGAAAATTGCACAATGTCACCGCACTAATAACATTTAATAGCATGCTCCCTGAAAGTATAATAAGCAATTTCCATGCAAGATATTACAATACCTTCTTGTATTACTCTCGCATGAAGTGAGACGACAATGCTCTCCAATAGTAACGCGATAAGCACTGATTTTTTTACCGCGAACATTTCGTATTCTTGTTATTGTTATCATAGCATTGTGTTTTAAGTTCGTGCGTGATTTAGCGCAGCTGGAATATGGTGACGACGCTGGGGAAGTTTGTGACGAACTGATGTAAACACACGAATCGGAGGATTCTGCAGAACAGCTGATTATCCGAGAATGGCGCAAGCGTTGATATCAAGTGTTGTAAAATGCATTTATGCATTCACGCTTAAGGGTAATTTTGAGGAGGTGCTAAAGGTCAAAGAACTGAGAAATGTTTCAAAGGTGATAAAAACAATCTTGTTTACAGTCTTTCGTTAGAATTTATAAAAAATTTAAAAAATTTTGTAATTCAAGATCGTGTTTTGAATATTTTCCAAATGCAATAACAGAAATGGATATCTTTCCAATGTGTTACTGAGAAGTTGGAGCATAACAAATATACAGGGTGACTCCTAACATAACTCCATACATATGTATAAATTTAATGAATGATAGTTTATGTATAATTAATACTGAAAATACTTTTTGTATCCACCGAGGTAGGTATACCGTGAACAACATTAATAAATGTATTAATTTAAATATAAATATGTCATTTGACCCGATAAATTATTATACAGGCTGTGACAGAACTCGCGCCCCAGAGAAAAATTTCAAGTAAGATAAGACACCAGGAACATGGAAAAAAAATTTTTAAAATTCTATCTGTCAAAAAATTTTGACATTAATTTTTTGACATTTGTTATGTCTATTTAATGATATTGATGATCTTGTATACAGGGTGTTTCACACAACTTTACGAGGCTTGCGCCTAATGTACGCACCCAAATATCTAAAATTCACAAAACACTAGATACAAAAAATACACATTTAATTATTTAATTTTTGGAAACTCATGACAGTAGTTGTCAAACTAATCACTGTTTCATTAATAGTCATAAACTACAGTTTTTCAGAAACAATTATCATTTATTCTATCGCGAGACGCCATGAATATGATTCTAGTTTATCTATCTTAATCACTAATTAACTAAAAACGTTACAATTTTTGAAAGGGGTGAACAAACTAAAGAAGATTATCCAATTTTTCAAAATGTTTAATTGAGTTCATATCGGAATATGTATTATTGATTGCATCTTACAGGCGCAGGCCTCGTAAAATTATGTGAAACACCTGTATATTGTTTGTAATTATTTAATAAAGATACAAACATTTTGCCAATAAAAGCCACAAATAACATTAAAAAGAGTTACAATTTAGGATATAGCTTTCTTGTGTTCTCTTCTAATAGCCCGTAGCAAAAAAACTTCGAAAATTATTTTTCAAACAGAACTGAAGAGTCAAAGTGCAAAATGTAAACTCTCATAACTTGAAAATTTTCATAGGTAGAATTTTTTAATATTTTTTCTATGTTCCTGGTATCTTACCTTACATTACATTTTTCTCTGGCGCGAGTTCTGGCGCACTCTGTTTTTAATGACATCACGCCTGTTAAAGCTAAGTGAATCGGTTTTCTTTATTCAGGTGAGGTTAAGTAGGACCTTTTATTAACATTCGACAAAAATAAAAAAGTAACATATTTTGCACATTTTACTCATTATTACTCATAACTTTTTATTTACTAAGTTTATGCGTAAGTAATGTTAAGATTCACCCTGTATAGTTGGACTTTAAACGTACTTTAATAACGAGTGATATGGAATTCTAATTTACAGAGATATCAAATCGTTAATAAATTAATGTATTTACTTTACATTTAAAACAATAAAAAATGAGAATATCATGATTATTACAAGTATCAATTTATTATTCATTCATTTCATACAACATAACTTCAAAAAATATATATATATTTCACCAAATTCAAAACTTATTTTTTTAGCTCTCTTGAATTCTTAAACTCGAAATTATTTTTTTAACTCCAAATAAAATCATGGTATAGTCAGTTTGTGATATTTATTGCATTTTTCTAAAACTACTAAATAAAATACTCGTGAGATGGTACCTAAACATCAGCAAAGTAATTTACAATCACAGGCACAGCGAAACTCTTTATTTTTTATTACAATGCAAAATGAAAACAAAAACAATCAAGGCACTTCAAATAGTACCGTGCGATCAAAAAAAAAAAATTAGAATAGGCGCCGATTAATATTTTACAGTTGGCAACACATTGGCTGGGAATCTGGGCTAGAAATTTTCCATACAAACTAAAAGTGAAAATGACCATTCACCGTTTTCGTCTTGTACAACATTTTTGTAATAAGTTGCAACAATAAAAAAGTTCTGTTCTAAAGTGAACATTATTTCACTCAAAATGAATAACACGCAAACTTGTAAAAGTTTCCGCTGATATTTGATGTCAAAAATCAGGACTGCCATCTGAAGGACTTTAATCACCGCTTACTCTAATTTGGGTGGTAAATATAGCATTACCCCGAGTGCTTAGTAAAAAATGGTCACATTTGTTTCATAAAAGATTAGTAAGTAAAAAAATAAAAATTGCAAAATTTTGATTTGATAATTATTTATTTACAATTTTTATTAGAAGGGTAAAATTTTTTATTTGTTACTCACTTGTAATAGTACATTACAAATGAGGTGGTAAATATGGCATTACCCCGGGTGCTTATGCATATGCCAACCTCGAGATCGGATAAAGCACAAGGGGTAATGCCATTACCACCGAGGTTTGTATGCTATTTTATTCACAATCACAATATTTTCAGTCAAAAATTTGAGTAAAATAAAATTATAACAAAATTAAGGTTCAAACGTGGTAGGCCCTCCAAATGGCGTTTCATATTTGACATTTCAGAAATGTCAAATCGTCGAAATGGAGCAGTGTACTCCTCCAGAAGTAAGAGAAGCTCCTACAGAAGCAATTGAATACTAATATAGCAAAATATTATGCGTAATTTGACAATTTGGAAGAAAAAATTCCCCTTTGGCAGTCCTGCATATTACTGCCCAAGAGAAGTAATGTTATTACTGCTCATGAGATTTAATGATGTGTTTCCCAATTTTTAAAAATCAGTAATCGGCATATTACACTAGTGATTGTCAATAAACTAAAATACGTTGTGTGTTGTGTTTATTAATTATTACATTGTTAACACTTGCAAAAATTAAAAATTTCAAAATAAAATAAATAAACTTGTACAGTATTTTGGCAGTTGTTTCACCACGATTTTTAGTAATTTCCATTTATGGTCAATTATTTTACTCTTTATTTCCGTTCATTAATTATCTGGTGGGGTGGTAGATTTTTGGTATAAATTAAAATTATGCTACATTATGCTGTGGCGCTACTACGTATGTGAAAATACTACTCCTACTACTTTAGCTATGATTGGCAACAACAACTCATTATGACAGACATCAGCGATAACGTTCTTACGATTTGAAAATTATCTTCGATGTAATTCCCCAAAAAATCAGTATCTTAGGTAATTCAAATTAATTTCAGTAGGTACACTCTTTTTCATATCAATGTAAATATATCAAGTAGGTTGTACAATTGTAAATGCATCTTTAATTTAAAAGCCAATTCACGCAAATAGTGTCATTAATGTCTTTAGAACAAATTTAATCACATCAATAATGTCATAAAATTTTATGTTTGCCACCCTAAGTTAATTACGTTGTTAGCTTTAATTATTGTTTGCTGTGGAGTACACATTTTTGCATGGTCGCCAACTTAAAATGATCCGTGTCAACGACTATTTCGATGCACATTTATAAACGATTACATCTAAAAAAAAATTCAATCATGCCAAATATTTGTAAATATGTCAGTTTCGATTAAATTCCAAATATTTGTACTAGTAGGTAATTCCAAGGCAAATTTACCTCTACTGGAAAACAAATGAGCTTTAAAATTATATATTTACATTTGAAATATAATGCGCTATAATTATTATCAAGCTTTGGTGTTTAATTAAATGCATAAATATGAGTATGTTTTTTAGATTACACGAATATGATAGTAGCTATTTTGGATGATACTTGTTCGTTAAAAACCAACAAAAACAAATTGGGAATCAAAAAAACTAGGTTACGACTCCACCGTAGTAAGTCTATGTTCTTTACGTTTCAATTTTACTTTCTTTAAATTCGAAAAGATCTTACATTTCTACTCAAATAAAATTTACATTCTGGCCTTCAATTATTTATTATATCTTCTCTCTCAAACCTAATTAATCATCTAATCTGTTCCAATTGTTCATGAAGCGATTTAAATCATTAAAGTTTAAATGTGCAAACTCCAAGCTGCTGTTTTGGAGGTATGCATAGAGGTAACCGACAAACCACACGTGAAAAGCCACAGAACATTGAAATGAGACAACCGACACAATAGAACGTTAACAATTTGTGTCCAATTTCGACAAAGCAAAACCTTTTTGTTGACAGGTACATTCTTTAAAACTTTTGTAATAACTAGGAAAATAATTTAGTCTTGAAGCCATACTATCACAAAATGTATAACTTTCAGTTTGCATATAAATGAACATATATTAAAGCAATAAATAATGAGATAATAAACGCGAAATGACTATTAATGAACCCATCATTTCATACTAAAACAATTGTTATTGAAAAACTTAGAATTTACCTCGAGCTGTTTTGAAATTATCTAGAGTACATACACATTTTACAAAATGAGAAAAGTTTAGTAATATAATTGAAAATATGAAATAAAACAAAACATAATCTAGCAAATTGAAAAATTAATTCGCCCCTAACGTAACTACTCTCGATCAAGATGAAATTGTAAATTGGAAATATCGAAGGTTTTGTTTAATCGATGCTGTAAATAAAGCCATTGGAGTGTGCGAATGGCTCCCGTTCGAAGCAAAGATAACATTACAGCGAACATTATGTTAAAGTTCCATTGTTTTTGTATGTTGGCAACATTAGGAGAAGGAGATCTTAATTAAATGCAACACAGAGAGACATCCTATTAAAGTTCGTAAATCAAATATAATACAAATAGCAAAAAGCAAAACTAATAACAGTTTCTGCATTTCTTACTAGATGATGCAGACACCCCCCTAGGCGCAAGAACTTGTAAATTAATTTCAGGGATTCAGCGCT